ATCCACGCAAACATTTATAAGATATGTACAAAGAGCGAGAGAGGGACGAATAAGAACGACAATGTGCAAAACATAATTGCGAAGATAGAAAGGTTACATTCATGACAATACAGTCAATAAGAAAGTATTAATTTCTGCAGACATGACATTTTATTCGAGATTGATCAGGTCTCCCATCAAAGCAAGTATCATTTGATATTCGAGAGGAAAATAAAAGAGAAAGAAAGACATTAATAATAAGTGATTCAGAACAGAGCAAGCCATGTCTGTATAACGGATGATATAAAATCAAGCGCAAGCTTATCTTGGTATGAGGTAGATCGTCTTTATATCCAAGCTCACACTCACACTCACATATAAATGACAACACATCCGTGCACATTTTAATTTACCTTAACCACAATGACATCGTGACAATGGTACCTATGTACGTATTATACTCTGGCAACACTTGGATGTGCAGTGCGTAAATAATAAACTATTGCTGATTCAATGAGAAAATTTGTTACACCTTTGTTTCTCGAAACTATTCACGATTTGTCTTCCATCATTTCAGTGTTTTTCCGTAGTAAATGCGTATTGGAATGAAATAGATACAGCTAATGGCGAACAATCGCAAGAAAGCGTTCGAAAAATGGAATTGCTTTTAAACGATCATCCGCACTTTGCTACATCGCGCCGATCTTGTTATACGACATGGCCAACTCAAGATAATCTGCAGAAGTTTTTTGTTAGATTTCAAGTATTTTTTTCGTAAAATAGAAGTGCATTGAGGTGCTCGTTGGTTTCCATACACAGTTCAGCGATATTGCTATAAATAGAAATCAAATCAGGATTATTTGGAGCGAGCATAATTTCGTCTTGAATCTCCAGTGCCTTTTGAAAAAATGCAAGTGCTTTTGAGTACTGGCTGATAATTTGATACACATTACCAATGTCGTGGCAGGAAGCAAGCAAAATGGAATGATTTGAAGGAAGATGGGTGTGGATTAAGAAGATTCACACATATCCACACCGTAAAGTAATTTTTTATCCAATCTCAGCAGTGGACAATAATCTGATCGGTAGAAAAAATGATTATTTTCAGCGGAAAGTTGCCGTTCAGGTAAAAAATACGATCTTTCATATCAAGAAAAATATAACAGCAGTACCGGACTAGTACACCTAAGAATGATGCATATCGATCTCAAGATGAATGAACCAATAAACACATAAACACATGCATTACATTTGGAAAAATGAAAACTCATCGGAATAATGCATGAATGCAGCGGAAAAATGCACGAGAGCATCAGAAAAATGGTTCCTATCAATGAGAATAATGCTATATAATAGCAGAGAAATGTTTTCCAGCTATCCACATTTACATATATACATACATTCCCTTAGGAAAAATGAAAACTCAACGGAATAATGCATGAATGCAGTGGAAAAATAAATGAGGATAGCGAAATAATGTTCTTATCAATCAGAATAATGCTATACGACACTAGAAAAATATTTTCAAGTTATACATATGTAAGCTATGATTCAGCATCATCCTGCTCTTGCTCTCTTTTCTGTCTATTTTCTCTCCTCTTCATCTTTCCTACTATTGTTATCTTTTCTTTTTTTTCTTTGCGGGATGTGGGTGTGGGTGTGACTGGTAAAAAAGGAATGATTCACACACCCACACCTACATTTCGTATTAATTATAATGCCTGAAAGTTTAAAAATTGTTTCGGTATATATTAAATTATTTTTCTTCTGTAACCGCTATGTTATGATTTCGTAGTAATAATAGGCAGATGGACCATCTGATATCCCAGCCCGTCATGTGGCTTTGTAATCTGACCAAGTGAGATTCTTTGTGCCTATTATGGCGAGAGCAGCATAGTACTTGGGGCAGAGATGGAACCAGTACCAGTCTG